GACAGAAGTCCCGCACATACCGGCTGCTACACGCGCCTCCAGTCCCGCAGCTGAAACGGGTTTCCCGCTTTCAACTTGGAACCTTCATGCGTGTAAGCTTTGGTCTTGGACTGACTGGTCGGTTGCCCTGGTTGAGGGGTAAATGTTTAGGGTTTCGGGGAGGTGGTGCTCGTCCGAGACAATGAGGGAGGGTGTTGAACTTCAATCGAGGGAGGAGCTGTATTCCACTCGACAAAAAGGATATTCTGACAAGCCGGGGAAACTTTGCACAACAAGGACCACACGTCAGAGCTCCCGGACTTGCTAACACAATCCAAGAAAAAAGAATAGAGGGTCTAAGCAGGCAGGAGGCTGCGTTGGCAATAGCCATCCCATGGACGTCGTGCTGCCACGAGGTTCCACCCCAGTCCATGACCTGGCTCCGCGCGAGCTCGGTCTCGAGACAACTGTCTTCTCATGCTGTACGGTTTGGCGACCTAAAGACCGGACCCCGTGACCTTAGCATCAATTCTTCTGGGGTTGTAAGGCACGTGATGCAGAAAGATGGTCATCGGTGGCCTTCTGAAGAGAAAAGCATGGCTTCTCACACTCTAGACAGAGATTGCTGTAAATGCAGACCCAGTCGAAGGAGACGATGACAATGAGAGCTACCGGAGCACGGAAACCCCGAACTTTCTTTGCTTTCTTCCTGCGCCTGCGACTGTTCTCACCTAACCTGTATACATCTTCAAACAAAGCCGGGCTTTCAGGATCCCAGCAGTCCCTAAACCCTTGCTTCCCGAATATGGACAAAAAGCAACATAAAATCCTTGGTTAATGCATCATAGTATATATATATATATATATATATATATATATATATATACGTATACGTGTATGTCCCTAAAATACTATATAGTTAAATGTAATTATGAACTGATGTAAGAATATACGAGTACAATATGTGCATATAACTGCATATATATATATATATATATATATATTATGTGTACAGGAGTACATGTGTGAAGACAAGAGACTGGTTTGGCAACGGCCATTGCGGAATCGTCATGTCGCTGTGCACTGCCATCGTCTGCATCACACTGGTGACAACGGAGGAGGCTGGGCCCGGGCCCGTGGAGTGTCCAGACGTGCTCAAGCCAATTTCTGCAGATCATAGACCTGAACCCTACATAGCCTACCTTTCTGGAGCTCCTCCTCAGATGCAGATCATAGACCTAAACCCTAAATAACCTACATGTCTAAGCTCCTCCAATATTTTGGCTTCCTAGTTGTTGGATCCTTGAAAAAGGAGACTGTCTAGGGTCAAGGTACAGCCAAGCCCATGGCTCAGTTTCATGTATATATGATGTGCCGCATAGAGGCTTCTTTGTTGAAGTGCTTTTGGGCGAAGGACCTTCTTAAACATAGTAATATTAATAGCCATGTTCAATAACATCATTAATGAAAGCAAAATGAGAAGAATAATAATCACCCCAAGAGACAGCCGAACTGGATTTCTCATGCTAAAGGAGTTCATAACGAAAAGCGAGGGTATAGGGCCGTTCTTTTCTCCTGCAGGTGACAACTCTGCTAACTGCAGATTTTCTGGGTAGCGCCGTGGTAACTTTCTAAACTAACTTACCGCAAAGGACACAGCATTACGAAACCTTCAAACCCAAACCCTTAGAACAGCTTTGCCAGAAAAGACAAACATCAACTGCAGGATCTTCACTTTTCCGCGGCGAATCCAGCACCGCGCTGCACTGAACCCTACAGATTGGGCCCTTCACACCCCAAAGGCTCGGCCGGCGCCTTCGCATCTAAAACCTGCGGCACTTAACCCAAGCCTTGTCTTCAAAACTCGAGTGGGCCACCTGTCTGTCGATCTGTCTATCTATCACTTTCTCCACCTACCTGTACCTGTGTACCTATCTATCTATCAGTCATGCTGCCTGCCTGTCTGTCTGTTCATCCTCACCCGTGGACCCTCATCTGGCCCTAAGCCCGAACCGGAAGCTACACACACACACACACACTAAACCCTAAACCCGAACACATATAAGTCCAATGAAACCCACACTACCAAGGCAAACAAAGCCCCCAGAGCCCCGATGAGCCACAAACCTTAGGACGGATCGCATCAATGGGCACAGGTCCGGAAGCATAGAACTACCGCTACCATAAGCTGGTCTAGGGCTTCTAGATTTCAGGGTTGTGCTTCATAATTGCATATTCGCCTTAGGGTTCTACCGGCTATCTAATAAAGTTTAGCGTACCGCTGCTACTTTTGAATCCCAGGTGGCTTTTCGGGCTTGAGGTTTTGGGTTTAGAGACCCCAAACACAAAACCCTCGAGATCCTTAGAATCAGCCCTGAAGCACTGTGCAACAGGCCTCAACACAAATCCCTGTCCTCATGGTAGATATGGAACGGCGTCGGGAAGTTCTTGGCAAGTTCCAGAACCTGAAGAGATCAAGAGGTGGGCAGAGGGATTCCGGGGCTTAAGGTTTAGGGCACTC